ATGAGAGAACCATGAGAGGGAACCTTGAGGGACTTATGAGAGAACCACATGAGAGGGAACCTTGAGGGACTTGTGAGAGAACCATGAGAGGGAACCTTGAGGGACTTATGAGAGAACCATGCGAGGGAAGCTGGAGGGACTTATGAGAGAATGAGAGAGAGAGAGAGAAGGAGATAGGTGAGACACCGCTAAGGGAGAAATTATAGAGGTGAGGGAGAACCTTTGTGGGAGACAAGGGTCAAAGGTCTCTCAACAACCATGGAAAGGTCTCTCAAAGGTCTCTCAAAGGTTTCATCAAACCTTTCCAAAAGCTTTCTCATGGTCGCAAAGAAGTTGGCGCTGCAAAGGTCTTTTGCCGATCCTTCGACGCCAGGATGCAAGGTTGTGGCAGCAGCAATCTCTATGCGCGCACCGTTCACACACAGGTCTAGCTGGGGCACAGCCAGGGTTACCAAAAATATATGACATATACAAGTGTTTACTACGCGATGAAATACATATCTACGTATATTCTATTTTTGATGAAATCTGGTGAAACCTTGCCTTCACTACAAAAGTGCAAACACAGTTGAATAAGCCATAGATACTTCTATATAGATATATGGACACCTCGGCTTGTCCCAGGGTCTGTGTGCCACACACAGTCTTTCAAAATGAGCGCGCTCAGGGTGTCAAGTCATCAGTTGGACTTGGCCCTCAACTTGGCCTTGGAACTCTCCACCTCCAAGTTCAAAGCCTCCACGTGCTTGGCGACTTCGAAGACGCAGGAATCGAAATTCTGCTTGGTCAGCGGCTTGTCATTGGGCAGCTCCTTGAAGAGCTTCACGTGGTTGATGGATGCCAAATCTTGCTGGCAGGCATTGTAGTGACCACGCAAGGCCTTGCCGCCATCAGCCAGCTTGGTTCCATCCTTCAGGATCTTCAAAGCATCACGCGACAAGCGCTCAAGGGCTTTGCTGGCACCATCAAGCAACTCATTGATGTTGCTTGGAAGCTTCTTCTTGGGATCCTTGGCCATGTCCTGTATAGCTCAAGGTTGGAAAGTGGTAAGCTATTGCATCTCTTATATTGGGGTGAACAAAGGTCGAATATATATTGGAAAAGGTCCAAGTAGATCCACGCTCCTGTCCCACAAGCATCTTCCTGTGCTTGTAGTACTTGCGGCCATCGTCGCCTTCGAATTCAACCACGTCACCCTCTGCAAGTGCATTGTTGAAGGCCTAAGGTTGCCCAAGCAAACACAGGCGCACGCACACACATACTTGAGTTTGTTCAATGTCTATTGAGTTCAAACTCTTTTGATTTTGTTCAATGTCTTCTCTATTTAAGTTCATTCATTAGTTCATTCATGCTGTCATCCACTTATTCTCATTCATGCACTCATTCATTTATGCATTCACACGTCAGTGCATTGGTACAAACCTTTGAGTGAAGCCACCCTGAGAGAGGAAACCTTGAGAGGCTCAACGTCCGAGCCTTCGAGAAATGCCGTACCTTGCGGACAATTGGCCTGGCAAGGGCTGAATATGACCCACGAGACCCGAATCGGGTCATTCCAAAAGGCTGCTTCCTTGGGACAAGGCTAGAAATGATTGCTCTCCCAGCTGATTTCTGCTGGATAGGACCAGCTGCCTTTGAACACTGTATTAGGTTGCAGACGGTGGACATCTCCCGGACTGGCATTCAGGAAATCGTAGGGGGCACCTTTGCACGCTGCCCCCAACTACAGTGCCTCAAACTGACCAATTCCTGAAGTGTAGCTCGCTAGAAGTCATACACATTCCACCTGCCTTGCTGTACATCAATAAGCGAGCCTTTGCTGGCTGTACACAGCTCTGCAAACTCGTCCGAATGGGCAAGAAAGGAACTTGGAGGGGGACCTATGTAGAGCACAACACTTTTGAGATGTGTACCAAATTAACACTCCCATCGTGGATTCGGTCTCTTCCCAAGCCCGATGCAGCAAAAGAAGAGTGGGAAGAATTCATGATAAGTTGTGCAGAAGCCCCTCTGAGTGGTACTGCAGGCTCGTAACAAGCATGTGACAACCTGGGAAAGCTAACTGTGCTACAGTGCCATTGGCCCAGTGGTAGAGTAGCAGAGGGTCTCTGCCCTTCGACCCCACTGCCGACCTTTGCCCGCGCCACTGAGGGACATCTGCAAGAAGGCCCACCCAATACCCATTTCCTCCCTTTTCGCTCGCTGTTGTTTCTTCCTGCTGAGTTGCTTGCCATCTCAGTGCCAAGCACCAGCTGGGCTTTTGAGGAAATGCCCGTCCTGTCCTTCCCCGAGTGGGAAGCATACAGACGAAGATCCGTGTCCACAGCCCCTTTTATGCCCACTGAGAGCAGGAGTTTTTTTGCCTCTGGTTTTTTCCTAGCAGGAACAAGGGTGCCTTACAGCTTATGTGCTTGATACCGAGCCAGCCTGCCGCACTCCCTCTCAGTGATCGGGCCTGGTGGACCCCACCTACCCAGCTTTTGGCGCGAAGTAGTAGCAGCAGCCGTTCTAGTGCGTCAAGCGGCAGTACGGAGCTGCGTACGTCCCCCTCGGCAATCAGGGATCCCTGGTGCAAATTCTGGTGCTTTCTGCAAGGTGGGTATAGAAGACTGTTTGGTGACACCGGTACACCACCGCCTCGTGTATACCGGCCCACTGTGACTATTCGAGGCTGTCTACCCAAGGGCAACTATGTGCCCGCTCCGTCCTCATAGGATTGCTTGCGCCTCTTTGCGTTATGTGCAAAACGCGTCCCTGCTAGCCGCTGGCTCAAGAGAGGTTGCTCTTGCAGAACATTTCACCTAGCCACTTGGACACTCTGCGCCAAACTGACACCCGTGTGTTGGCTTGGAGCGCATCTTGTGTCTGGCCTATATCCAATCATTGCTAAACGCACTGTGCATACCCCTCTTGAGCTGGACACGCAGGGGGTATCCCTTTACAGACTTTGCACAAGCAATTTGTCTCCAAGAGCATTTGGAAGTTAGCCTTGTTCGACTGCATGTCACAGTGCAGCAGGTCTTTTCTGCCTGGCCATGGACCCAATCTTTGTTGTACTCAATCGAATCCCGCAAGTCATTGTGGTTGCAGGCTATGTTGACGATACCACAATAGTTGGCCATCAAACCGACTCCAAGTGGGTTGAAGAGGTCTTCCAGAACATCAGAAAATGGAAGACAGCAGGAATTGTCATGGATACGCACCATTGTTGGCAAGTTGGCTTTTCCAATAAAGCCCTCACAGAAGGCACCTTGCACAAAACTGATGACGTCTGGTGCCACGTAACCCCCATCCACGAGGAAGGACAGGCTACTTGTAGCGCAGCCCTCCAGCAAGTCCCCAGTTATGCACGTCACTTTGTCCTTAGACACGGTGACCACTGTATACAATTGCCCTCAGAGGCTATACCGAGGCTTGTTACTGAAGGACACCCTCTGCTCTGCCGACTAGCAGCTAGTCCCTGCCAATGTCGATCGAAAACGCAACTGCTAACCAATGTTGGTTATACCTCCAGTCAGTTGTATTGTCTGGACCGAGCAGGATTAGGTGGTCAGTGTATTGTACCATCCACCATTAACTTGGGCCTCACAATTCATACAGGTTGGACTTGTCAAATCACAAGCGATACTATGGTTAAAATGCAATTGCAGTCATCCATGACTCACCTGCTATCCAAACAGCTTGCTAAATTCCAAACTAGACTTGCAGCTGCCAACCGGGCCAATCTCAGTATACATGCGAAGATCATTTACTTTAACACCTTTTCTCTGAGCCTCTTCTACTACGCGCAAACCCAGCGTTTCTTCTCGCCAACCCTCCTCAAACCACTCTATCATGCAATGGCTGGCTTTCTTCTGACTAGACATTGGTTCCCACAGCACCTACTGGTAGGTCTCTGTCGCTGGCTACGTATCGGCCCTTTGCTAGATCCAGCAATTATGCAAGCAATCTCACTGTTTGGGTGTTACTTACGGCAAGGATACACAACTTTAGCAGCGGAGCAAGAAGGCTCCTATGCTGCACACATCCAACAATGCTGGAAGTATTGGCAAAAGCAACTCCCTACTGAAGACATACAGAGTCTTTTGGACCTCCTAAGGCAAAGCAACACGCCTGCACAGAGAGCAAGCAGATTCAAACATTTATTTAAGCAGATCGCCGTTACCAGGCTTCTAGAAGCCTCCCACCTACATTTGACCAATCGAATCTATCGACATGGCTGGGCTCTGGGCCCTTCTATTGAATTCCTCAACTGGCTCGCAGAGCTTCCTACCACGCAAGTAGGCGCCGTACCGCGATATGCAGTCCTACGATGGGCTCTGGGAGAAGATGCGGATTTCTGGCTGCCTTTTAGAGGTAAACTCAGTCGCAGTCAGCCCTGCCTATGGTGTCGGAACAACACACGATGTTTTCCGCATGGACCAGGCTATGGAGCACTCTGTCCATCACGCTTACTACCAGCAACGCCAAGGGACGTTGCTTTGCGTGATCTTTCTGATGAGAACAGTGCCTTCCTACAGTTTCATGCAATTGAAGTGCCCCCTCTTAGGCCGTTTCCTCCAGCATTTTCACGCCTGGAGACCTCTGAAGGGTGCTGTGCCAGCACCTCATACGTTCCATGTGTGCTCTGCCGGCAGGGTGCCAACTCTATTGATCATTGGCTCTCCTTTTGTCAGGTTG